TTTGAAAATTCTCCAGTTTCCCTTCTTTGCCACATCCCTGTTCTCTTGTACGCTATAGAAAACATCACCTTCAAAACTGTTGGATTTCAACAGCCTTATCCCGAAACCTATTATGTATACTCTCATCGTTTCGGTAGAGGGGGAGTTGGCAAACTGTTTGGTTTGAGCAGTCTTTTCTTGGTAACGGAATCAAAATAGACACCAGGTGCCTCAAAAATCGTAGACTCGGGTACAAGCTGAGCAGAGAGAAGACAGGCATTTGGGAATGCGCAAGGGGAATGCGTGGTTGGACAGCAGATTTACGAGTGGAAAATTTCTAACATAGTAAGGATTATTATTTCATTTTGGATAGATTAACCTTTTTAGAAGTTTACAAAATCTTTTTAAAAACATGTGTGGTTCCCACATAATCTTTACTTTTGACTGCCACTGGCAGGAGTTTGGTATGGTTTCTCTTTGCCGAGTATGCCCTGGAAGGAGTGGTACTTTCCACTCTTCACCGGTTTGGGGTGGGTTCACTGACCAAGCTGGGCACTTTAAGTCCATTAAGAACCCCAAATTAGAATGGGAGGCTGGGAAAGCTTGCTGTGGCCCAATTAAAGGACAGCCTGGGAGGGTAGGCTTTACCTTTGCTGATCCTATTGATTGTCTCCTCTGGGGATTAATGACAAACCTTCCTTAACAAGCACACTGAGTAGCTTGGGATTCCAAAACTCTCCAGGACCAGTAATTAATCCAACTAGTAATGAGAACACAGTGCTGAATTCTGGAAAGAAATCATTTAACTCTTTCTATACTGAGTAGTTCATTTTCTCTTACTGATAATCCCTTTAGCCTTAGCACTGTTTATTTGGGACAGTATAAAAATAGTCTGATGGGGGTGCCTGGGTGGCTTAGTTAGGAGTCAGACTCTTGATTTCGACTCAGGTCATGGTCTCACGGTTCATGAGTTCAAACCCAGCATAGGGCTCTGCACTGACAGTGCAGAGCCTGCTAGGGATTCTCTCTCTCCCCCCTCTGTCTGCCCCTTCCCCGAGTGCGTGTGCTCTTGCTTGCTCACTCTCTCTCTTTCTCAAAATAAACTTTAAAAAAAAGCCTGATGAAAAATTGCCATTTTCAGTGAAGCTATATTATTTCTGTGCATTTAAAAGCAAGAACAGTCTTTACCCCCCACGTGTACAGAGTTGACAAGTGAACTTTTATTTGTAGAAAGTGCTTTTTGCCTCTTGTTTTGATATGAAGGCAGATTTATACAGTTGATAATTAATAAAAACCTAAAATCTGCCTCTGAATTGGAACTTGTATACCAGCAGTTAAATTTCACTCTGGTCCCATTTTTTTAATGTTTAATGGAATTTTTACCTATGGATGTAACCATCCCCCTGCCCCCCAACACCGTGTTGCTTTTTTCTCCTACTTTCTTCTTCCCAGGACTTTGAGACATTTCCCATCCAGAGGTTTCTGACACAGAACATCTTTGACAGGCTTCCTAAGTCTAGTTCTCTCACTAGTAATCTGCTTGTATACTTTTAAAAAAAATGTTTAGGGGCACCTGGCTGGCTTAGTCAGTTAAATGTCCGACTTCAGCTCAGGTCGTGATCTCATGGTTCATGAGTTTGAGCCCTACGTCGGGCTCTGTGCTGTCAGCTCAGAACCTGGAGCCTGTTTCAGATTCTGTCTCCCTCTCTCTCTCTGCCCCTCCCCCGCTCACACTCAAAGATCCCGCAGAACAAATCACCTGCACTATCTATGTATTGGGGCATGTGGGTAACAGCTCTCTTCCTCAAGGCACAAAATTGGCCTAGATTCACTTTTTGATTCTAGCATTCTTTATTTCTCTTCTTCAACCATGTTTACACAGATACTTATTCACTCATTCTTCTGCCTCCTTCTGCATTTTTGCACCATACCACCCTGAAGAACTAAGGATAAATGTCTTTCCATATGTCAGTGTGTTTAGTATTAGAAAACCATTTCGGAACATTGGCTTTTTCATTCATTTTGGGTGTCTGACTCTTGGTTTTGGCTCAGGTCATGATCTCACCATTTGTGGGTTCGACCCCCACGTTGTACTCTGTGCAACAATGAGCCTGCTTGGGATCCTCTCTCTCCCTCTCTCTCTGTCCCTTCCCAGCACACACTCTAGCCCTCTCTCAAAATGAATAAACTTCAAAAAAAATAGAGGACTGATGACTGAAGTAATAATAGTAAAACTCCTGTTCATTCAATGCAGCTATGTATATCTACCCACTATCTGATCCATTGAATTGACCCTGTATACTTGCCATTTTTATTACTGCTTTGCGGTTGAGGAAATTAAGATTCAGAGAGCGAGCTAGGGTTCTGGGCCAACTCTTAGTCTAGAGCTTGTGTTCTTATTGACTGACTGAGAACAAACTGACTGAAGAAGGAGTCAAGATATATTTCACAAAGAATGTGGAATCTGGTGGGCAATAAGGAACATGTGTCGGCTTGAGAAGGTGCTCCCACTGGGGGAACAAATCCAAAGGCATAGAAGCAGAAGTGAGTTCAGTTTATAAGACAGTGCAGAGACTCACCTAATGAGGACCAAGGCGGCCTGTTGGCAATTAGCAGGAATAGTGGTGGGAGGCTGGGCTGTGGCAGGTGGAAAAGCTGGACAGAGGAGTCTGGTTTAGTTCCTAGTAGTGAGAGGCCATTTAAAAGTTTTTGAGCATTGGAGCTGTGCAGCATTTAGGGAAAGCTGTCTGTTAAGGACACATGGGATGAGGAAGAGAGGGGAGAACGTGAAGTTACACTAGAAGGTCAGCTGGAAGGATGCACTGGCCTTGGACTAGGAAGTGGGGACACAGGTGGGACAGGAGAAGAAGGGACGGAGAGCACAGGCATTTCAAAGAAGAAGGAATTGAACCTGCAAGAAGTAGCTAGATGGGTATTGAAGGAAAGAGGTAAACCTGACCGAGACTTTGAGCTTGGCTGTCTAGGGAAAGAAGGTGGGGTTCTCCTGGCAAAGAGTAAGACTCCAAGAAGACAGGTGGGTGGAGAGAGGGCAGAGGAGGCTTTTAAGTGAGTAGGCTGGTGCTCTGCCCACACTTCCCGCAACCTGTGAGTCCCGGAAGCCCAGGGGAAAGCCTGATAGGACAGAGCCAAAAAGCAAGACAGGATGAAAGGTGTAGGTGTCCGTCGCCAAGTGCCAGGGTGACCCAGGACTGGGGAGTGTGGGAGACTGTGGTGCAAACGGGTGGGGCGTCAGAAGCTGGAGAGTCAGAATCAGAGAATGTATGGGGGTCCAGGCGGGATCTGAGCAGACTCTGACAGCGAGTTCTTTCTGAACACTGTCGTCTTGTGTTAATTTAAAGCTATTTAGCCTTCTTATTTCATTATCTCCAGACTCTGCTAGGTATGGATATAAAGAACTCTACTTTTGGAGAATGTTCCTGGGATTAGAACAAAAGAGATAGACGAAAGCCATGTGTTTTTTATATGAAGAAACACAAATATTGCAGGATTAAGCCTTTTCCTTCTCTATGTATCTGAGGCTAGAAAAAGACACACTCCCAGGAAATCAGGATAAAGGGAAAAATGACTTTGAGATGTACTTTCTTAAAATAACTGAAGAAATGACCTCATGAGCCAGCTGATAGCCTGGGTTTGCAAATGGATACATTTCTATTAGCCTGCTGCTTGATGCCGCAGAGCCAAATATATACCGAGTGTATTATATCATATCCTGTAGGCAGGAGACTATCTGGGAGAGGCAGCCTCAGGGAGGTGAAATGGCAGCCTGGGCGCAAGGAATGGCCACGTAAATATCGTCAGCCAGAGCTCTATTTATTAGGGAAGCATGATTCCCTGTTATTATGTGATATAATAATTATATTATATAATAATTGGTATCATCTTCTGGTAAAATAATATTCAGATAAGAACACCTGATATTTAAATAGGCTCTTCAGTATTAAAGTAGTGTTGCACTCATTCTCTCATTAATACTTCAGTATTCCCATTTCTAGGTTTTTTTTTCTCTCACTCTCTTTTACACCTACAAGCCCATGTCCTTGGGTCTGACTCATTGCCAAAATTGTCTTATCCTTTTGGTCTTAAGCTGTGGAGGCAACCTGGATGTGTCCTTAGTTGGAGGAGAATGCTTATCTCTGGAGTGTTGCAGAGGTTACAAGGAAAGCAGTAGGTCTGGGGAGGGACGTTAGAACTTCATAAATTGCTTCTCTTGCCAAAAATCATTGTAGGCAATTAAGAATATTCACAAAGCAGGCTTCCCTCCTCCTCCAACACACACACTCAGTGTGACTGCTGTGCCAGGAGATGAAGAAAGGCAGCTGTCTCTGGTTTAACACCTGCTCGGTCTGGATTCGATTTGTAAAATAAATCTGAATGAACTCCATAATGTGTTTAAGATGACATATGCTTCACTGATTGTATGTCAGAGCCACAGACATTGGCCTAGCATACAAGAAACTTTCAGGGAAAGCTTTAGGGTTATTTTCCCTTCTTATTAAGTAAAGCCTATTTGTAACCAACCACCTTCCTGAATTCTCTTGCTGTTTATAGTAGTTTTTCCTTTGACTCTCTGGGGTTTTCCAGATGCACAGTCATATCAGCTACAAACAATGATGATTCTACCTGCTCCTCACCTCTTACTTCCCTTATCTAATGGCCAGGTTACTGCCTCCAGAACAATACTGAAAACATGTCAACTTTGTTAGACACCTTGAATCCGTGGGAAGCTGTAGAAGGGAAATGAGGGAAATGGCATCAGGAACATCTTAGGCAGAAATCAAACTTGAGGGCAGGTATTCTTGATCTTCCAGGGCCAGTTCTGTGAAATACAGCTTGATGTATACTTGACCAACATACGTATATATAATTCTCAGTCACATCTTGGAATTCTCTGGGACCATCCAGGAGGGCTATCTGTTTTATTATCGTAGAACTTGGTGGAAGGCGCAAAGACATCCCAGATGTCTTTCATGACTGCTGATGACCACACTCTTGTCTTCTAGGCCCAGCTTCGGGCATTTATTCCAGAGATGCTCAAGTACTCCACAGGTCGGGGAAAACCAGGCTGGGGCAAAGAAAGCTGCAAGCCCATCTGGTGGCCTGAAGATATCCCATGGGCAAATGTCCGGAGCGACGTCCGCACAGAAGAGCAAAAGCAGAGGGTGAGGGTTTCTCAGAGCTGAGTAGCCTGTTGCTTTTCCATTCAGAATCAGCTATGCTAAAAAGTCTGAAAACATTTGTGCGATAGCCAAACCTGTCTCCCAAAAGAAGTTTGATATTCTCTGATTTATAGCCTTCCCCATTCATCATATCGTCACTGTGGACTCGGGACGGGTCCATGAATTTACACTTCCTTCCCCCTAGTTGCCTTTTGGAGCAGTTTTAATATTATGAGGTGCTTGGAAAAACTGAAGAAACTTCAGGAAAAAGCATTAATCACTTCGAAGACTTAGAGATGTCCTTATTTCTGGTTAGCAAGAACCACCGTTGAAAAATGTAAATAATAGAATTAGATGTGAAGTTGGTGAAGGCTGCTGCTAATGACACTTCTTTTTAAAAAGGTGGACTCAACTAATTGTCGTCCCTTGCTCTTTCTGCATATGTGTTTCTTAGCTTGGAAGTTTATTGAGAATTGTAACATAAAATTCTTGTCAAAAGAGTAACCTTCTTTTGTGAGAAGTTTAAGAGTTGGCCTCAGGTTAGTTTGGGGTATAAAACCCAAAAGCAAAACCAGACTTTGCTCAGGAAGGAAACCAGTGGGAGATCTTTGGTGCTTGGTGCCGAGTTTCTTTGCGCCACAATCGGCCTCCGGGAAATAAACCTACGGAGCTTACTCTGTGCAGGTTTGGTTTGGTTTGTTAGCTAAGCAGCTGCTTATCCCATGGTGGGACTGAATAGCCACGCTTCTTTGTGACTTTTTAAATGTGCTTTTCTGGTCTTTTGGTGACAGGTTTCATGGACCCAAGCACTACGGACCATAGTTAAAAACTGTTATAAACAGCATGGGCGGGAGGACCTTTTGTATGCTTTTGAAGATCAGCAAACACAAACACAGGCCACAACCACACACAGTATAGCCCATCTTGTACCATCACAGACCGTAGTCCAGACCTTTAGTAACCCTGACGGCACTGTCTCACTCATCCAGGTGAGTAAACCTATGGCCACCAAACTATGGTTTCTGAGGTGGACTGGTGGGCACCTCACCTCACACTGGAGAAAGTTTGCTTCATGTGACCCTTATGTAACTTTTTGAAACTCCTCAAGATCTTTCTATCTGAAATTTATTTTTAAATAATATTTTAAATTGTTTGCAGTATGTTAAATATGGAGCTGTAGATGGCTTTTCCAGACATTTCCCAAACAAAGCACTGTAAAAATGGCTTCTTTTTTATGGTTTCATTCTGTCAGGGGCTAGGAGCTATTCCTTCTAAATTACCTGTGGTAAAACACAGTGTGTTGGTAAATAGGGAGTGTCTAAAATTCAGATTGGAAACAAAAAATAAAAATAAAAATAAACAAGATTCAGATTGGAGTGAGAGTAGAAAGTTGGTTGACCAATACTAGGCACTGATGGTGAAACATGATAGCTTCTAATATTGATTTTTTCGGTTGAAATAAAATACTAGTGCTCCTGTAAGTGTCTGAGATACGATTTTAGGAACTCATTTCACATTACAAAGCCTGTTAATCAGCACCTGAGCTGAATTTTGGATTAAATGAATCTTGACTTCTGACAAAAGGAAAGGTAGACAGATCCATCTACTGACACTTCTCACCTTCTGTATTTTTCTTTAGGTTGGTACAGGGGCAACAGTAGCCACATTGGCTGATGCTTCAGAATTGCCAACCACAGTCACTGTTGCCCAAGTGAATTATTCTGCTGTGGCCGATGGAGAGGTAAGAAAGAGGATTTGGTCTGCATCTGCTTAAATACTTAAAGGCATAGGCGAGGGAGTAGTTAGGGTTCAGAAAATAGCGAGGCCGAGTAGCCTACACATTGGTAGCATTAGACCATGACAGTTTTGCAGACTATCTCATGTTGTGTATATTAATTGTAATCATTGAAATTCCTAGATCTTTATGATTTAGACCTGTCACTTATAATTTTACATTTGCAATATAGCATTTTTGTATAATACATAACAAAAAAAGATGATCTGTGTAATACTTTTATGCTGTGAATCCCAAAGAATTTAATCATTAGGCTTAATGTTTAAAAATTAGATCATTAAGACTGGAGCTGACCAAAGAATTCTTTGAAGGGATAAATATATTTGTAAAGCAGTAGTCATCATTTATTACATTTTAAATATGCCTTTGAAAAGACTATGAGAAAATCCTCCTCTCCCAAAATCGAAGTAACTATAGGATGTTAACCTAAAGGTAGCTAACTTTAATTGAGCACTTGATAAACTAAGTGCTCAACCCTATATTAAGAATAGGTTCTGTTACCATCTTCACTTTATAGATGAGAAAACAGAAACACGTAGAGGTTAGGTGACGTGCCCAAAGTCACAGAATAAGTGTCGAAGCTATGTAACATGTTTGGAAAACTGTCATCTAAACTCTGAGCCGTCGGTGAAGGTCAGGAAAGGGTTCGTTGAGGCAGTGCGGGCTTTTCCCCGAAAGGTACCAGGGTGGTGTACCCCTGACATTTGAAGAACGGCTAACAACTGTCAAAAGAGCAGTATTAGAAATAAAGCTAAAAGTGTTCTCTCACCCTTGCTTAAAACCATGAAGCACTTCTGCTCAGGACACCACAAAGTCATATTCATGTGTGCAACTCAGGAAAGGGAGAGAACTAATAAAGCTCTCATGGCTAGTGAGATGAAGAGAAACAGTGGGCTACCCAGTCAGCCAGCGTGAACCGAGCCCCTGCCATAACGCAATGACGTGTTAGATGTGTGGCGTTGATTTACACAGGAACCCTGCTCTCAAGAAGCTCCTGTCTGGAGGGAGAGAGAAATGTCTGCAGAAATGAATCACGGTCCCTGCCCAGTGGTCTCTGCCTCCAGGAGAGGTGGTTTCCAGCTAGGGAGTCTGAGATGTGGGAGGCAGGAGCCAGCATTTGGTTGTGCAGTATAGAAAGGTTAATAGTCCACAGGATATTCACTTTTAGAAGTATATAAACATGTAAGAGTGTGGATTAGCTGAGGGAAAAACTCGTCAGTCCCCAAACACTAAAAGTGGAGGACTGTCCTTGAAGTGTGAGATAGATAGAAAAGACAGCGGTGGGTGTATTTACTCTTTGACTTATTCAAAGTTATCAACCGTATCTCCCTACTGAATGTTTCTGGTACTGTGTGAAGCAAGTGACTGTGTTTCTTAAACACTTCTCTAGAGACTAATTCTTTGAAGCCCGTGTAGCTAAATAACTTTATATGTATATATATATATATATATATGGTGGTAATTAACACATTCAGAAGTTCACAGAAAAATATAAAGAATTTAAAAAATCGTAGTTACTTAGGGCTTTTTCAGCACACTAACATCATTTTTAAGTCATCTGTTGTAGGAGTGAGTGAATGACAGAAATAGCCTGCTGCTACACACCCAAATTTCAGATTTAAAAACAAACTGTAACTCTTCCCACACTTCCAATGAAACACAACAAAGAGAAGCAGCACAGGTTATCTCAGAAAGTGACAAAATGTTTTCCATGTAATAGTATGATTTATTTTACTTCTCATTGGTCCTAGATGTTGACGTGGTCGTTAGCCTCTCAGTTTTGAGCCGTAAGAACTATAATTACTCAAAATACCTCACTGCTTATGGGCAGATAAGACCACATCAAGTTAATGAAACATTATATCAGATGACTCAGCAAAAACATCCTACTACCTTGTGTTTAGCATCTCTTTTCCCAAGGAGTAGAAAGTACTCTACAAAAGCAAACGAAAACTATACTTTTAGAAGTTGTGAGGTCACTTGGTGCTCCCAGCCTTGCCAGTGAGCGCTGTTACCAATAGGCCAAGCTGCCTTCAAAATCCAGTTAGTTCCATTTAGTTACGTTTATTAGAAGGACCACTGGGAGCCTGTTCCTTGTGGTAATATATGGTCTCCCAAATCTTTTGGAGTATTCTGTGTGGTCGGAATACCCAATAATTCTTGAACAGCTGGCCACCCTCCCGTGCAGTCAAATTCACATATAACTTTAAGTCCTTCAAAACTTAATAGCCTACGATCAAGCAGAAGCCTTACTGATAACATAAACAGTCGATTAGCACGTATTTTGTAATGTTATATCAATTGTATCCTGTATTCTTACAATAAAGCAAGCTAAAGAAAATGTTATTAAGAAAATTATAAGGAAAACACGTTTCTAGTCTGTACTGTATTTATTGAAAAACAAATCCACTTATAAACGGATCCAAACAGTTCAAACCTGTGTTGTTGAAGGGTTGACTGTAGTTTGAAAGAAACAAAAAAAACCTCTCACCTTAGACAGCTTTAAACTAATTAAAGACACAAAACAAGTTACGTAGACATTTAGAAATGAACAAGGAAAGACTTCAAAATATGTGAAATAAACTATGTTGATTTCAAAGTATTTGTACAATTTCAGTTTTGATGGCATATTTACAAATATGCACATGGATTTGAGAGTTTATTCTGTTGTGTGAAAAGACCACCAATTGGTAGTGGTGGTGTTAATTGCATTTAAGTGGCAGGAAGGTCAAATGTTGAAATAAAATGGTATCTGACTATCATGGTACATAAGGTTCTGTTAGAAGAAACCAAAGTACAAAGACATTGGAGACATGAATTTTAAAGTTTGGTTTTTTTTAAGTTTATTTATTTTGAGAGAGAGAGTGCAAATGGGGTAGGGGCAGAGAGAGATGAGAGAGAATGCCAGAATGTGGAGCTCAAGCTCATGAACCATAAGACCATGACCTGAGCTGAAATAGGAGTTGGACGATTAACCGACTGAGCCCCCAGACGTCCCGGAAACATGAATTTTAAATTGAGCCATCAACATGTAACAATAACAGTAGCATGACTTGTTTTAGATGGGTTTTTTTTATGAATATCAGTTTATCTGAGATCCAGGTAGGCTGAAGAACAAATAGGGAAACATGAATAAAGGAATACGTTCTCCATCCTGCCCTTCAGTAAATACTTTCTGAGCCCTGTGCCAGGTACTATAGATTCTATAGATACAGGAAATTAAAGGCTTCTCTTGCTCTTAAGGAGCACACAGGTAGGTGGTAGAGAAAAACTCATCAAAGCACAATGGCAATGAGGTAAGAATTTAGTAGAAGCAAGCCCAGGGTGCTGTGGAACACAGAGGAGAGGTCCCAAGCCTCAGACCATAGGGAAGTGGAGTTGTCTGGGCTCCTTCAGGCCCACCTGAACTCAGACTAGTAGGGTGAACAGGAAGCAGAGGTAGGAGTTGTGTTCCTATCAAAAGGAGCACCGTCAGCGCACTGCGCTGGGAAAGTGGGAAAGGGCCTCGGGGTTCACTGTAGCTAGAGGGATAAGAGTAACCACAGTTTGAAGGGCCTCGTTGGAGTGGGTCTCTCAGAAAAGCATTGATGCTAACTGTACATCCTCTGAATATCTTTCCCTCCTAGGGCTTGGGGCCCTTTCTCTGGGACATGGTGACATCCGGCATAGATAACCACACAGTGGCTCCCAACAGATGGAAAGGGAGAGCAACAAGAGCTCAAGCAAATACAACTAAAGCACTGAGGCTGAAGAATAGGAAATTCCAAAGAAATGTTAACACCCAAGTGATTTATTTATCACCTGCCATTATTCTGAATAGAAATCTCTTCGTCTGCTTCTTCTTCCTACTTCCTCTCTACCCTTTGCCACCATCCATTAATCTTTCATGCCATATAATTTAACTTCCTTAAAGTATACTGTATATGGCAACTTTCTAATACCATTTTTGCTGCAAATACAGTTGTAACTAAATGTGTATACATTAAATTGCTGCCATTGGAGTCTGAGTCTTGGGAGAGCTGCACTAGGCCGAGCTCTGCAGTGGGATGGGCAAAAACCTAGAGGGGCAGACCTGGAAAGAGGAAGACTGTTTAATGGCAAAAGGTGACTGAGTTGGCCAGCTTCGGCTGATGTGTCGAGCGCAATCACAGACCATCTACAGACTGGCGGTGTAGCTTGCCATTTAAAGTGGCAGTATTTACACTGACACTCACTGGAGTAAATGAAATCAAAGAGAGATTAACTCTCAGGAAGCAAGAGTTTTGTGAGTTCCCGAGTAGGCAGCTTTGCCGCTCTGAGGGAAGGAAGTGGGATGTCTCTGCTGCTTAGTGATGGGCCCTGAAGGTTTGCCTATGAGAACTCAGGGCAGAAACTAGGGTAGTTCCAAGGAGTGTCCCATTTTCTGGGAGGTTTTTGACAAACATTCTGAGAAGCACTGTCATAATCTAAGTGTGGTCATAGAGCCAAAGCAGGAGGCATTTTAAATATCTGCCTCTCCCGAGCTTGTGGCACTTTCTTTGGGATACAGTAAACATGCAGGAGACACAGGTCTCCACTCATTGGGCCCAAGCAGTGTGAATCAGGAACAGCAAGAGCCCCAGTAAGCACAGCTAATGTCCTGAGACCCGAGTCCATAGAAATATTGGACCTGAGCTAATTGATTTATCACCTACCATATTGTCAAATAGAAATTGCTTTCACACTGCCCCTGCTGCTTTTTGTTTTTGAGGAGGAATAATTCATCAACTAACATTTATTGAGCAAAACAGACTGAAGTAGCTAGATATAGGCATCCAGGACTAAGAAGTCCCTAAATGCAAAGCATTTTACTAAAATCAATGGTTCTCAGTTAGGGTACCCCCCGCCACACACCCAGGACATTTGGTACTATCTGGAGATGTCTTGGATTGTCATGACCGAGGAGGGTGCTATTAGCATCTAGTATTAGGTAGAAGCCAGGGATGCTGCTAAACGTCCTTCATGGCACAGGACAGCCCTCCACAGAAAGACTTGTCTGGCTTTAAATGTGAATAGTGCCGACACCAAGAACCCCTGAGCTAAATCTTGCACAACTGAATTATCATCTATCCTGTCACCAGATAGAGTTTTTTTGTTTTATTTTGTTTCTTCATAATTCCACCCCCCCACTAAAAGGCAAGCAGTTTTTTATACATTAAAAAAAATGTTTCCTGCATTTGGCAGTTTCCATCGATAATTAAAATACAAAGTAAATGATAGATAATCCCACTTCTAGGAATTTACTCTATAAATAGACTTCCATAAAATCTACAACATAGTATGTAAAGATATTCATCGCAGTACTGCTTGTAATAGCAAAAGACTAAAAATGACCTAAATGTCCATTAAAAGATGGCTGGTTAAATAAATCATGGTGTACCTCTATAATACAGTGCTTTCCAGCCATTATTATGAATCATGAATGGATGAAGCAGTTTTATACATTCTAAAATAGAATCACTTCAGAGATGTATTGTTTGTGAAACAAGCAAGGTACAAAAAGATGACATAGAATATGCTGCCATTTATATTTTTTAGGAGGGAGTAGATAGAGGGAAATAGGAGTGAGTAAATAAGCTTGCATATAGAGGGAATATCCCTGCAAAGCTACACAAGAAATAGGAACCAGTGGTCACCTCTCTACCCAAGGTCTGGAGTACTGGCGTTATATACTTTTTGGTACCATTTGAATGTTTTCAAGATTATATTTACTGTCTGTTCAAAAATTCTAATTTTTAAATTTTATGGTTTAGTCAAAATTTTCGTTCTGAGCCTTATCAATATACTACCTATTCAAAAGAACTCAAAAAAATAGGTAACCTATTCATAGGGCTCAGATATTTTTAAAAGTATATGTTGGAAAATCTTGCTTTCTGTCTCCTGTCCAACCTGTCCCCACAACTCCCTTCCCCCCACACACACCAAGGAAAATATTTTCAATGGTTTCTTTTGTGTCCTTCCAGAATTTCTTTATGCAAATATAAGTAAATTCAAATATATATTCTAATACCCCCCTTTCCATACACAAAAGATAGCATACTAAAAACCCTGTTCTGTACATTGTAGGTCATGCTAATTTAAAAATGTGTATGTATTTGGCTGAGCACATAGCAATTTATTATAATCCTTCTGTGACTTTGATTCTTTACTGTCATGTCCTTTCTGCCTCAGGTGGAACAAAATTGGGCCACGTTACAAGGAGGTGAGATGACCATCCAGACGACGCAAGCATCAGAGGCCACCCAGGCCGTGGCGTCGTTGGCAGAGGCCGCAGTGGCAGCTTCTCAGGAGATGCAACAGGGAGCCACAGTCACCATGGCGCTCAACAGGTGGAGGCAGGGGTGGGGGGACAGATGACGATCGTGGGTCGGTCCCTACCTACAGGTTGTAAAGATAAACGCTGTACTTCAATTTGTCACAATTGGCAGTGGGAGCTTAATACTCTTAGCCCACAGGGTATTGTAATTTGACTTATGACCAGCCTTACCCAACCCGTTCCCACCCTCCGCCACCCACCCCCACAACCAGTCCTGCCTTCAGACTTCCAGCTCAAGCCTGCTGGTCAAGAGACCTTGATCCCTTTTGCTTTCTCCTATTCTGTGCCCTTTAACAAACCAAAAAGCAGCAAGGTTTTCGAGTACTTTGTGTTTTTAACAGGGCCAAAGAATATAATAAAGCAAGAAGCTTCAGGATTGATTTTCTATTTACCCTACAAAACAAATTGCTTTTAGTCATTCTTTCACTTCTACAAAAGAAACAATTTTTTTTTAACTTTCGGAGAGAGAGAGACAGAGTGTGAGGGGGAAGGGGGGGAGAGAGAAAGGGAGACACACAGCATCTGAAGCAGGCTTCAGGCTCTGAGCTCTCAGCACAGAACCCAATGCAGGGCTCGAACCCACAAACTGTGAGATCATTATCTGAGCCAAAGTCAGATGTTTAACCAACTGAGCCACCCAGGTGTCCCTAAACTACTTTTTGTTAGGGATGTTAATCCATGTCTTAGCTATTTGATAGCTGATTTTACTCACTTTTCAGGAAATCTGTTTCCCTTACTTTGCTTATCAGTGACTTTGAAATCAGTTTTGGCTTACTGGGAAAAATAATTGAAATATTTCTTTTCAGGTGTGCTTAGGAAGGGTGCTGCAGAATGGGATACTCCAGTGATGAGGGTTTCCAAAACTAGACCATATTGTTCCCGCTTGGTTTCCTTCTGTTGATCTGTTGACAGAAAAGATCATCCCCATGTCATTCTTTTTCTTCTTCATTGCCAACATCATTCTATTTTCCAGTGGACCCAGGCATTTTAAGAGTGTGGGCCTTGAAGCCAGACAATCTGGGTTTAAACTGCAGCTCCGTCACCCACCTAGCTGTTCAACCTTGGATAATTTACTTGAACTCAATGCCCAGGCTTTCCTCTTCTGTAAAATGAGGGTAAAAACAGCAGCTACCTCATAGGGATGTTGTGAGAACTGAGAAAGCCACTGCCTGCAAGGTCCTTAGATCAGTGGCTGGCATACGATAAGGCCGCTGTCACCATTATGTGCAGCTGCTATTGTTAGTCTCAGTCACTGAACTCTTATGACAGAGTGCCTGCACTCTGCCAGGTAAGTTTGTAAATAAAGAGCACTCTAAGATACCATGTCTGTCCTCAAAGAAATCATACTGTTCTCACTGGGGAAATTAATTTAAGTAAAACAGTGAACACTATTGCTCAGAATGTAATGCAGTGTTGAATCGTGCCGTACAAACCATGAACATTGCAGAAATTCAGAGGAAGGGGATCACCTCCTCCAAAGCTTAAGTTTAGATTGGTTGTGATAAATAACTAGAAATCCTCCATAAGCTGATGCAGAAATGACTTCTGTGTGGCTGTATAGTATGGGGGCTGAGAAGAAGGTTCCGCGGTCACGTAGATTCAGGTTGGAATTCTAGCTCTGCCACTTACTAGGCATTTGATCTTGAGAAATTTAACCCCTAGGCCTCGGTTTCCTCATCATCATAAGGATAATTTTTTTTTAATGTTTTTATTTATTTCTGAGAGAGAGAGACAGCGTGAGCAGGGGAGGGTCAGAGAGAGAGAGGGAGACACAGAATCTGAAGACAGGCTCCAAGCTCTGAGCTAGCTGTCAGCACAGAGCCCGACGGCAGGGCTCGAACCCAGGAACTGTGAGATCATGACCTGAGCCGAAGTCGGACGGTCAACCGACTGAGCCACCCAGGTGCCCCAAGGATAATTTTCATCATATAGAATTAAAAAAGATTCACCAAGACTCTCATCAAAGTACCCAGCCCCTAGTTAGCACTTCAAGAATTAGACTTATCATTTTTACTTTTATTTTTTTAAGGTTTTATTTTAAAGTAATCGCTGCACCCAATACGGGGCACAGACTCACAGCCCCAAGACCAAGAGTCGCATGCTCTACTGACTGAGCCAGCCGGGCACTCCAAGAGTTATCATTTAAATGTATTTTCAATTTTGTATATTCAGTATTGCTTAAAAGGAGACCAAATAGAAGGTCAGTTAGGAAGAGGCGGACCAGGTGTGATTTGTTAAAGGGTTGAGTGGAGATAAAGTGACTAAGTTTGAAGGTGGTTGATTAGGTATGGAGCACGCACACACACACCCCTTTCCTAGGGGTATTCTGAGTGACCTGAGATTGAAACTCACACACACACCCCTCCCTCTCCTAGGGGTACTCTGAGTGACCTGAGATTGAAACACACACACACACACACACACACACATCCCTCCCTCTCCTAGGGGTACTCTGAGTGACCTGAGATTGAAACACACACACACACACACACACACCCCTCCCTCTCCTAGGGGTACTCTGAGTGACCTGAGATTGAAACACACACACACACACACACACACACACACACACACACCCACCCACCCCTCCCTCTCCTAGGGGTACTCTGAGTGACCTGAGATTGAAACTCTTTTCCTAGCCCATTGAACCATGTGGCTTTTCAATAACATGAAAGTCTTATTTGACCCCTTACACTTTGGCCCAACCCCACTCCTTCCTTTGAGAAAGGACGTACAGATAAACTTCCTAAAAGCCATGGCCAGGGTGAGAACCTCCCTCTGGCCTGGTAACCCTTTACTGTGGCCTGGGGCCTAATAGGCCACCATGAAAGACCATCAGAACTTGATATCATCGAGCCAGCACCTTGGATATTCCAGTGAAGTGCGAGTGTCCTGGGAACCCTATACCTAGTGGAAAATATGAGGCACATTCTGGCTCCCTTTAGTGTAAGGAGCAGGGCTTATTTCTAAAGGCAAAGAGGGTAATGGTTTCCCCTGAGGGCTTGTTAACTAAGTCAGATGCAGCTGAGGTGGCTGTAGTGTTTACTCCAAAGGAAGGAGAACATGGTTCACTGTGGCACGTAGGAGGGTAGAGATGTTGAAATCTGTTTGCAATCAGATAGTTCAGCACCCGATGCGTGTTGGGGGATGGTGTGTTGCAGCCTCTGCTGCAGGGGGAGAAACCAAGCCTGGCAATGAAGACTAGACGATAGCAGGCTGCTAGGGGCATTCTGATTCCAAGAAAGGTAACCCACTGCCTGACGGCAGGAGGTTTGGACTTTTAAGACACGCACCCTTGGTGTTTGCTTCTTTGTGGGATGAGATGATACTCCAGCCCCTCCACAGAATTTGTCACTGGAAATTACCTTAGTGAGAACTGCCCTGAGAAAGCCGGTCTTTGTTCCCATGGTAACAGTGATTTCTTAGCGCTGCTTCTTTCTCGCCTGTTTCAGGTGCAGATGGAATAAGTGCGGTGCTTGGTTAATACCCTGCCCCTCCGCCGCGCCGTGGGCTCAGAGTGAGGGGAGAGGCGGAAGCTGTGTGGCGTGGCTGGTGGGGAATAAGGCAGGGGAGCTCTTTCACCTGTCCGAGGGGAAAGGGGGATAAGGACAGATGCAGGACAAACCTGTTCTTCGACCACGCTGTGTAAGAGTTTTGTGTAACAAGTCAGAACAAGGGCCCTGGGCTCGAACAGCCTCCAGCCCACCCTGGCATTATAAATCATCCAAAGAGGTTATGGAGAAATTGTCACTGAAAAATTTGGAAACTAGTTAATTTTTAATTATTTTCAAAATACATATAAATCAGCATCTTTAGAAAAGAGATGGGGAGAGAATCCAAATGAACAAATGAAGTGAAGAGCATTACAGCTCAAAACGAAATAAAACAAAAGTATTGAGCCAAACTACTGGAGGAGAAAGGAAGTGAAATCATCATGTAATTTGTTGTGATAAAAACATTAATTTAATGTTTCAGTTTGTGGGTTAAGCTGTCCTTGTGGATTATATTCCTTCTTCCACAAGTAAACTTAAGTCAGTACAGCCCTTGCGTATACAGATGGATGATAAGTATTTGTAGACGGAGTCTACATTTGCCCTACTAGAAATTTACACTGTGTTGTCAGCACCGAGACCGTTTTCACGGTCTGTCTACTGTGCATAGTGCCGCAACTCAGCGCTATGGGAAAGCAAAGGCTCGCATTGAGTCCTCTTCTCCAGGAACTTAGAGTTGCTTTTCTTTTGCTGTGAAGACACTTGGCTTAAAAAAAAAAAAAAAGCGAATCATATTTTTGAGGAAAATTTACTGTTTTTTTAAATGAAAGTATTATTGACTTAAAATAAGACTTGTTATTAAAATAAAATATACTTTACTTTATGGACTGGTATTTATTTATTGAGTAAAATGGAATGGACAGCCAAGACTAGAAATCTCTCGAGATGAAGGGCAGGAATAGCGTACCTGCTGCTCTTTCTTGTAAAGGTTGAACACTTGCAGATAAGAAGCTGATGGAAACTTCTCATGTGTAACTCTGGTTAAGAAATTACTTTTGGCAAAAACTTGTGAAGTGGTAACTTAAAGACCTTTGCATCCCTCTTCATCCTATAAGTAAAGGCCATCTTTTTCTAGCAGTCAGTTTGCTCATTCTCCATGAAATCTAGTGTCAGTGGTCAGTATAGATTTAGAAATGAATGCCTGCTGACCACAGGAGTCACAGTTGTCTTTATGCCCCATGGAAAAGATCCTTCCCTTGATGCTTTGCTTCTGGCTCCTGACAGCGGATAAGATAACTAACCTCACCGGCCTGTGGGCCTGTCATCCCCCTCAGACTCCTGGTCCCAGATTGTACCCAGATTGTGCTTCTTCACAGCCTTTCTTCTACCAAACATATTTTAGAAAGATATTAAAGAAAATGACCTCGGGGCGCCTGGGTGGCTCAGATCATGATCTCACAGTTTGTGTTAGAGCCCTGCGTTGGGCTCTGTGCTGACAGCTCAGAGCCTGGAGGCTGCTTTGGATTCTGTGTCTCCCTCCCTCTCTGCCACTCCCCCACTTACTCACGTGCACTTGTGCTCTCTCTCTTCTCAAAAAATATTTAAAAAATATGACCTCAAATGTTTAGAGCTTCAGGCATGATACAGTAGGTGTGATTGGGCATAGGTGCCCCTCACGTCAGGGTAGCTGCCCTCCCTTCATCGCCTGCACAATTCCACACCGAAAGCATGTGTCCAGGTGCTCCAGGTCTGGCAGGACATCGCCTTTGATGGTCACAGAAATAAAATTATACAAATTGTGATAAAAACTGGGTATGAGCAGTCGCTGAGGTAACCTGTAAACAAAGATAGTATTTCCATAGAAACAATTTTCATATACAGCTTCCTTCTCCAAAGTACCACACCGCTGCAGCTTTTTCCGAAGAACAGACTTCAGCTTTCTGTAATGTCTCAGGTCAGAGTAGGAAATATGTTTGTCATTAACCAGTGACAGCTGGGTACTGTAAACTTGGCTGGTAGTGTTATTTGACAATAAGTTTCTTAGAAAAATATTAGAGATGAAGGATCTAGACACTAATCACTCATTTTACTAGCTCTAATAACTCTTGAAGGACTTTAAAATTAAACTCTGCCATGTAAAATGTAAAGAATAGCCTTGGTAGGAATTCCAGATCAAAGGTCCCCAGATATCAGATCTGGCTATAGATACTATGAAATGACTGGCGTTGGGCAGCAGATCACCAAGAAGTGTGTGTCAGCCGAGGCTGATCTCAGCTTTTACATGGACCACACATGCACTCCATGATTGTTGAGCCTTTTGCTCCGGCTCAATTAGTCCCCAAATGTTTATGAACGGGGGCGCCTGTCTGGCTCAGTCAATGGAGCATGCAACTATCACTCTTGGGGTTGTGAGTTTGAGCCCCACATTGGGTACAGAGATTACTTAAAAATAAAAAATATATATAGAAAAAGTTTATGAAGGCAGCAAATGCATTTGAAATATATAACTTTGAACTAAGTCAAAGGAAGCCACAGATAAATGACTAGAAAAAAAAGCAGGGGGATCGTCAATTTTCATTTATTATCTTGAATAAATGTCAGAGTATTTACATGGGGAAATACAACATTAGGTGAAAAAAGCAGGGTATAAAACTATTATACCTAACTATTAGCTGTTTAAAGCTGTATTTAAGATTAGAAGGAAATAAACTTATGTCTGTATATTTTTAAGGTTTCTTTTATACTTAATGAAACTTTTACAAGCCTTCTGCATGTATTTTATTATCAGAAAAAAATAACTTGAACACAGACATAAATATTAAAAATTAAATCAAGTTAGTAAGAGAGGGAGAATATTCTATTTAATGAGACTTTTCTATCCATTGGGTTTCTTTTACTGCTTCCTAGAATCCGTATATTCCCTTAGGGAGATGATAATGTCAGTTGCTTTACTTGTCCGCTGGCTTTCTTAAATGGAAGTAGCACTACAGAGTGTGGTATATGTTGCTTGGCCCACAGTCAGGACATGTCTGCCCCAACCAGTCCACAGCCCTTCACCCAAACCCACCTACAGCTTGTGACCACGAGGTATGCGTGCTAGAGTTAGGCAATCGGCAGCTTCAGAGCAAAGCTTATTCACCTGGCTTATTCGGTGTCAAACCCAGGCCTTTGTCACCACCCCCCCTTCACTCTCCCAATATACTATGTGACACCACCTCCTCTACTCCAGTGCCCACGTTTGATACTCCTTCAGTAACTATGCGGAGTGGGAGCTGACACTTTCCCAGGAGAGGTGCTGGATTTCTGCTGCTTTCACATTTTACCATCTCTTAAATTTGAATTGTAAACTACAATACTGCAATTATCAAGCAGTTTTTTTTTTCTTTCTTTCTGGCACATAAAATAATGGTCCCTTTTTAGTTGATAGCATCATAGAATCAATAAAAATGGGTATTTGTGCATTTGGGACAAGCAAAGGCAAAGCACAAGGAGAAGAAAGAAAAATAGGATACAGACTGCTAGAATAGTGCTCACTATAAACAGATAGTTAATATCTTTCTATTGTGCAAAGTGTTTGCAGGGAAGGGAGATTTTATTATTTCATTGTGTTTCTAGAGGCTAGGAGTTTGGGCTTATGGTGATCATTTAAAATTTCAAGCCTTAATTTAGCACTGCCCACATGTACAGTGAGGCAAAGGGAAGACCTAGATATTGCAGGATGTTAGGGTGTTAGTCAGCCATTACTTTGTATTTGAAGTCATACATATAAACCGCATTGTTATTATTTAATATTAATTGAATAGCAAGTCCACATTGTTACTTCTCATATTGTCATCCTCCACTACGAAAGGGCAGTTTTTGTTTTGTTTGTTTGAGTTTTTGTTTTGTTTTTGTTTTTGAGCAGCAGGCACAAGTTTATTGGAGTATAAGATCAGAAAGGAAGAATAATATGAAAGCTCTCTTTACAGAGAGAGGACATTCGAAAGTAATGTAACTGTCCCCAAAAGGGCAGTTTTAGATAATCGGCCTCGTGTTACCATAAAGAGAAAAGAGAACAAGAAAACCTTGAGTTACCAACCAGAAAGGCTTTCCCACTGTCACTATGGATCAGACCTTCCACTGACAGTGAGCGCCTTCCGTCCTCACACACCCATTTCCTAGATTTAAAGAAAATCTCACATTAGCTCCTTAAATCTCTAAGACTTGGGGTTTCTCTAGCTATTTACTGTTACCATTTAAAAATTCCCCCAGCTCTCCCCAGCAGCGGCGGACTCCTGTATGCGCCGGGAGGCTCACACCCCTGGAGTCGGTAGAGAGAGCCAAGGAGGGGTTGGAAGCACGGCGTGTCTTGCCGCAGTGCTGTACCTTTATTCAATTCACACGTCCCCCTCTCCTGTTCCTGTGCCCACAGCGAAGCCGCCGCCCATGCTGTCGCCACACTGGCCGAGGCCACCTTGCAAGGAGGGGGACAGATCGTCCTGTCCGGGGAAACCGCAGCAGCTGTCGGAGCACTTACTGGAGTCCAAGATGCTAATGGTAAGAGAGCATAAATATTTTATTGAATGTCTTCCCTGTCCCCACTTAAACCTTCATGACATGACTGACAGCAGACCCTTCAGAAAGCGGTTAAGCTTTGATTTGAGTTTTTCTTTATTGATAGGCAATTGATGCCTAGGAAAATTCGAGGAGCCCCTGATTCCTTTCACTAGGAGGAGACTTGGGGTTTTCTGAGGGGGAAAATTGCCATGATAATGGCTATCTAACTGAAATGCTTATTTGAACACTGTTTTTGCTGTGACAGGACTTACTGAGAGGTACTTTAAAATTTGCTGCAGGGCACATTTTGTCCTCTACCCTCCCTTGGGGTAGATCAATGTCCTCTGCTATAGCAGAGCCCCTCCCATGGTGGGGGGGGGGTGCATTGTAGTAGAGTAGAATGTTCTATCTTGAGAAAGGCACCACCATCTCGCACAGGATCAGCCAGCAGGCTGTGACAAGGTACTTTTCTGGTTGGTGCTTTGAATCTGCATCCTGTTACATGTGTCCTCACCAAGGACCTCTGGATTTAGCCAGTAACACACCACCACCCTGCCCTTCTTTCTCAGCTCTTTGACTTCCTGGATATTGGTGATTTCCTGAATAAACAAAAGGGATAAAGTTCATAGAAATATGGTGGCAAAAATTCACAATTCCGGCCCAGCTCTTTGGATCCACTTCGGCAGGCTCCGGAAGTCAGTTACCAAGACTTGGGCTGCATGGGGAAGTGCCTCAGAAGTCTGGGTCAAAAAGGAGGACCAGCCCCATTCAGCGAGACTCTGATTGTTTATTACATTTTTTAAATATATATACAACTTGGTTAAGTAGGACAAATTAAGTACTCTATGGTTTTTGGAGATTTCTTGTTAGTCTTGAAAAGATGATGAACAATAACATACTTTTATTTAGGCAGAAGGTTCCTTAATGACATTAGTGGCTGAAAGAAAAGTTCCTGGAACTTTTTAAAGGATAGGTCCCTTATCAGTGAATAAAGTTAGTTGGAAAAGTCTTTGAAGAAAGACCCCAAGCTGTTCCTCCTTAGGAAGTGGGAGAAGGAAAGTTCTTGTGTCTGTCACCCAGAGAAGAGTAACACAAGAAATGTAAAGAGCCACCATGGCTTCTGAGAATCATTTTCCTAGAACAGACAAATAAAATACTACAACTACAGCCTGTTTTTTCTGTAGGGTTAGGGTCTTCCATGAACTAACCCTAACAAGGATAGACTTGATCTTAGCCAGAACACTGCAGGATAAACATACATGCAGCCATGTATGTTCAGGGTGAAATGACCTAGAGGTAGAAGTAAGGAAAACCTCCCTATTTAGCTAGACTCCTACCCCTACTTCCTTACCGTATACTGTTCCTCATCTGAGTCCTAATCTGCCTTGAATAGATAGGATATCTGGCTCCATAACATTCTTCTGAAGTGCAAATTGCTGTTATTTATATGGAACTGCTGCAGATACTTCTCTGCCTGAGTTTGGTAGGAGACTGTTATCCTTTCTAATGGTCTTGACCTGTCTGGGCAAGGTAGAACAGACCACTTTATCATTCTGGCTCCTCCTCAGCCTCACCTTTTCAGATGAATTTATATGTAAGTATTTGGACCCTGTGCCAAGTAGATCCATTCAGCCATAAGTAAAGCTGAGCCACACCCACTATTGATTCCTGGAAGCCGCCTCTTTTCAGTAGCCTTGGGGTTATGTGAATCCGTGGTGTTGATTTCATGTTGTTGGCTGTTTGTTTGCAACAAGAGAAAATACTGGTCTACATCATAAAAGCCAAAGAAGACCATCCCCACGTTGTGCTGAACTAAGCCTTGAGAGTTGGAATTAGCACTTTCTCGGCACAACTTTTTTGTGTCAGATCAGGTCATTGAGTTGCGCCTTACTCCAGGAATTTTAGGCAAAGGCCTAGCATTTCATCTCTCCCTTGGGAATCCAGAGAATGAATCTAATATTGAATAAGATCCAAATAATTCTGATACTCCTTCTGTCTTCTGACACTTTACCCGGAGTGCTATAGGATTTGCTATGGGACTAGAACCAGATTTTTCCCATGTAACTGGCTAATGTGGTTTCTGGGTAGGCTTTTAGGGATTCTCTTTTCATTCTTTCAGACAGTGTCCTGTTGCCAGAGTTTGTCACTTCTGTGATGGCAGCCTTAAGGGGTTAGCCAGTAGACCAAGTTGGTTATCACGGAAGAGTTTATTATCAGGAAGAACCACATGGTAGCAGAACAGGAAACGCCACTACTAGGGAAAAAGAAATAACATCCCAGATTCCAGAGTATGGTTTAAATAAAAATCCTGCTAGCAGACAACTCTTCTAAGAACAATCTGGATACTGTTTAGGCCTGAAGCAGAGAAAGGTTTTGCGCCTTCTGAGATGGAGAACCATTGCATGTGGAGATTGATAGGGTACAGTAACTGGTAAGAAATGGCCGGGCAGCGCAAGGATAACCCCCGTGTGCATGGCAGAAGTTTAATTCCTGGGTCACCAAGGCAGATGGGACAGAGACCTTGCACCCTGTAGATGTCTCCTATTTTCTGGACTCTACCCGCCCCCAACACTAGGGAACTACTCAGGCACTAGTATTACTTTATTTCATTTACGCTCCTTCTTTTTTCTATAGCACTAAATGAGTCTTTGGTCTCTTAGGATGGAATTTTATGGTTTAGTTCCAATTAAAGTTTTTCACAGGTGGCTTTCTTTTCATTGAAATGCAGATAGAGTGCCTTCCTTCACCTCTCACAGTTGTTCCTTGGCCCTCCCACCCACATGCATCTTAAATAAAAGGTTGTACAACCTTTAAAGCAGCCCCACACAGGGATTGAGGAGCTCTCTGAGTGATAATCACCTCCCACTTGACCTTCCACTCACTGATAGTAAATCTTCAGGGAATCAGATCTGCACATCTTTTTTCTACCTTCCTAGTTCAGCCAAAATAATTAAAAATAGGAATTATATTGGGACCCAGGCGCCTCTTCTGAGGTGCTGTTATGTCTGAGATCTTATTGCATATTCATGCAATAAGCAGTCTTTTCTTCCTAAAAGCTAGATGGGGGCAGGGGGAATGAAACAGATAGTTCATAGTTAATCAATAAATGTAATGGGGATCATCTGCTTCACTATTGTCCCATTAAGACTCTCACCAGAGCTGCTAAGAAAGTATCCTATAATCAAGGTATAACCCCTTTAATTGTATACGTTGCAAATAGGGTTTTTTTCAGTTTATTTTTATTTTATTTCTGTTAATTTCATTTTTATTTCCTTAATTATTTCTCGTTTGCCTTTACATTTGCATAGGCCCCAAATCAGATAAATATCTATATGGCAGTTCTTCTATGGTCTCATTTTTTATTTTAAATCCTGTAAAATATCTGAAGTTTATTTTGGTATATGGCATTAGGTAGGAATCTGAATTGATTTTTCCCCCTATATAATCTATTCCAGCACGATTTATTCCATAAAAAGGTTGAAATTCATCCTTTCTAAACTGATTTGAAATGTCATTTTTATCATGCAGAGTTTTGGTTTTTGGTTTAATTCCAGTGTAGTTAACATACAGTATTTTATTAGTTTCAGGTGTACAATATAATGATTCGACAGCTCTGTACATTACGCAGTGCTCATCACGATAAATGTACTCTTAATCCACTTTACCTATTTCACCCATCCTCTGACCCATATCCCTTCTGGTAACCACCAGTTTGTTCTCTATAGCTAAGAGTCTCTTTCTTGGTTTGTCTCTCCTTTTTTTTCCCCTTTATTTACTTCTTTTGTTTATTAAATTCCACAGATAAGTGAAAACATAAGGTATTTGTCTTTCTGACTTACTTCACATAGTATTACACTCTCTAGGCCCATCCATGTTGTTGCAAATGGCAAGATTTCATTCTTTTTAGTGTTTTTTTTATTTATTTTGAGAGAGAGAAAGAGCACATACACAAGTAGGGGAAGAACAGTGAAAGACAGAGAATCCTAAACAGGCTCTGCATTGTCAGCACAGAGCCTGACATGGGGCTCAATCTCATGATATCATGATCTGAGCCAAATCAAGAATCCGACACTTAATGGATTGAGCCACCCAGATGCCCCAAGTTCTCATTCTTTTTTATGGCTCAATAATATTCCCTTATGTATATACCGCATCTTTTTTACCCATTCATCAATTGATGGATACTTAGACCACTTCCATACTTTGGTTATTACAAATAATGCTGCAGTTAACACAGGGATGCAAATATCCTTTTGAATCAGTGCTTTTGTATTCTTTGGATAAATACCCAGTAATGCGATTATTGGATCATAGGGTATTTCTGTTTTTAACTTTTTGAGGAACCTCCATACTGTTTTCCACAGTGGCTGCATCAGTTTGCATTCCCACCAACAGTGCAAGAAACTTCCTTTTTCTCCACATCTCATCAACACTTGTTTCTTAGTCATTCTGAGGGGTGTGAGGTAGTATCTCATTATAGTTTTGATTTACACTTGCCTGATGATGAGTGATGTTGAGCATATTTTACATACTTTTATATCTTCCCCGTTTAGCAGGTTGTCTTTTAGTTTTGTTTCATTCACTGTGTAGAAGCTTTGTATTACAATGTAGTGCCAGTAGTTTATTTTTGCTTTTATTCTCCTTGCCTCAGGAGATATATCTAGAAAAATACTGCTATGGACGGGGCACATGGTTGGCTCAGTCGGGTCAGCGTCTGACTTTGGTTTGGGTCATGATCTCACAGTTTGTGGGTTTGAACCCCATGTCGGACTCTGTGCTGACAGTTCAAGCCTGGAGCCTGCATTGGATTCTGTGTCTTCCCCTCTCTCTGCCCCTCCCCCTCTCATGCTCTGTCCCTCTCTCAAAAATAAACAAACTTTTTTTTTTTAATTTATTTTTTAAAAAAAAGAAAAATACTGCTATGACCAGTGTCAGAGATATTCCAGCCTGTCCTCTTTTCTAGAATTTTTATGGTTTCAGGTCTCACATGAAGGTCTCTAATCCATTTTGAGTTCATTTTTGTGTATGCTGAAAGAAAGTGGTCCAGGTTCATTTTTATGCATGTAGCTGTCCAGTTTTCCTAACACCGTTTGTGGAAGAGACTCTCTTTTTCCCATTGGATATTCTTGTCTCTTTAGATGAAGATTAATTGACCATATAATTGTAGGTTTGTTTCTGGCTTTCTATCCTATTTCATTGATCTTTGTGTCTATTTTTATGCCAGTACCATACCATTTTGATTACTATAGTTTTGTAGTATAACTTGAAATCTGGAATTGTGATACCTCCGGCTTTGTTTTTCTCTTTTAAGATTTGTTTTAGCTATTCAGGGTCTTTTGTGGTTCCATACAAATTTTAGGATTATTTGTCCTAGTTCTATGAAAAATGCTGTTGGTATTTATATGGAGAATTCTTTTTTTTTTTAATGTTTGTTTATTTTGAGAGAGAGCAAGAACAGAGAAGCAGAGAGAAAGGGGGAGGGGGAGAGAGGCAGAGAGGGAGAGAATCCTAAGCAAGCTCCATGCTCAGCGCAGAGCCCAACATGGGGCTCTATCTCACAAACTGTGAGATCATGACTTGAGCCAGAATGAAGGGTCAGACGCTTAACTGACTGAGCCACCCAGGCGCCCCCATATGCAGAATTCTTAAATAGACTGTGTGGTGAATCTTCTGTTTCCATTAATCTATTTATTTTGTTCTTTCTACTATGATATTTTATTATTGTGGTGTTACCATTAGCAGTTAGTGAAAGGCCTGTCTCCAGATTTGAAAAAAAAATTCAATCAAAATTCCAAAAAGGTTTCTGAGGGGAGTGACCTTTACAGTAATTCTAAAGTTCATCCAGAAGAACTAAGCCAGTTTTCCCCTTAATTTTAACTCCAGTGTAGTTAACATTCAGTGTTAAAGCTTTCTTTTAATTTAACTAACTTAAGTGTTCTCCTCTCCTTCTGCCCCATCTTTCCCTAGGGCAGGGGAAGTGGGGAGTGTTCATTATCACAGAGATGGACCAGGAGTGGGAAGCCCGTGCTCTTAATACTGCCCCAGTGAATTGAATGAGACACTAATTGTTGCTGGAGGAGACACTGTCCCTGTAGTCGGGCTTATTTTCTTAAGACCAAACCAGGTGCGTCTTTCTAGATTAAGAAATTGTGCCTGTCCGTCCTGTGTGTGGAGAGTTCTCTAGAGGTTCAGTTCGTGCACTTTGAAATTTTAATTTCCCTCTTTTCCCCCAACGTCTTCAATTTCATTTTTTGTACGAAGGTGAGGGTGAGGCACACCCCACTTACAGAGGACTCCAAGCTAGGAATCTGCGTTCCCACTATTGACCTTGTATTCTGTATCTCAATTCCATTGTCTTATTAACTTTATTTATTTAATAAACATTTGATAATGCTTGCTATGTGCAAGTCTTCTGCTAAGTGTTTTACATGCATGAGCTTATTGAAAACTCAGAATAACCCTGTTCTGAGGTAAACACTATTATCTCCATTTAACATATGGGGAAACTGAGATGCAGAAAGTTTCGGTAACTTGGCCAGGTTCACAGAGAGTGTGGCAGAAGTGGACTTTGCATTCAGGCAGTTTGTCTCCACACCACTCAGCTATGCTGCATCCCTGTGATGTGAGCCAGCTTCTGTCTGGAATCCACAAATACAAAGTGATGACTGTGTCCCGGTGTTGAACAAATAATTTGGGGAATGTTGGGCCTCTCTCCCCGTCCCTGGTAAAAGCTACGTGCCTTTGTCTGGTGTAGCCACAGTGCCCGCCTGCCCCAGCCTGTTCCCGGCTATAGGGATGCTCTGCACTTTCTAATGCCAGGTGCTCCACTGTCCAGCAGTCCTCCCCTGTGTGCGTGAGTGCTCGCACACTTCCCTTTGCTCACCTGGGGGAGCCCATAGGTCTGTGTTTCTCCAGTTGCAGAAATTATAGAAGTGTTCAGCTGTCGAATTGTAGTACTTTCAGTGAGCAGGTCACTTTGCAATTAGTGAACATGTCTTACTTTCATTTGATGGGGGGAGGCGTATGTGCTATTTATACCAGGAGACATTGTTTTGGGGGGAAGTAAGTACATGATGTTCCCAAAGAGGTAAACCCAGCTTAAGAGTTGTTTCCTCACCCCCTAGAAGCTTCTGTCCACACTCTCCTGCCACCATTCAATTTATGCCAGCACTCTTGCAACGTCCCCACCTGTCTAGGGAAATAAAGACCAAGGTGGTAGAAAGTGCTGGCGACAATGTGCACCTCCACCCGAAGCTAGCTGGTGGCCAGTTTGGTTCCCCTGCCCCTCTCTGTGCCTTCCCTGTGGCTCTGCCTCCAGCCCTTCATTGGGTTCCACCAGAGAGTTGGAAATTGCATTTTTCTCCATTGCCTGACATCCAGAGGCCATCCACTGCCTGTGCTGTCCTGGCTCAGACCTGCGGCCAGCTACTTGCCTCACCCCCTCAGCGGGGAGGAGTGGGCTAGAAGACTAGGTCTGTTTAAAAATTAAAGCTGATTATAAGGCATTAACATTATACTTACAGAAAGAGCAGCCCTTCTCGTTTCTCTGCGGTGCAATATGTCCCTCTTTGTCCTGACCCGGCCGTGGCGACAGCCCTGCTGCTGAGGATCCCCCTTAAGACCCATCAGCACGAATGTCCTACATCTAAGAGACCGCACTCCGCCCTGCTGCACTGAGTGCACATTCTGCTCCCCATATCGGCTGCCAAACAAGCGGAATCAAGTTTTGAATTCCTTTAGAAAGAAAATTCGGTCTTCTCTTCACATTGACTATGTCTTCACCTTTCCACCTTGCTACTTTTCTTTGACCCTGTGAAAAATTTTTCAAGATATATGTGTCCCCAGTTTAACTTAATCTCAACTGTGCTCATTGGAATACCTTTGTTGTTGTTGTTATTTTTTAATTGATCTTTTTAGCAAGGGGGATAAGAAAGTAGATACATGAGGACAGAAATAAGGCCATGAAGTTCAGATAAGAGAGCAGGATTCCGGGGTGGGGTCCTTGCGTGAGAGATCGGAACACACATTCCTATTCCGCAAGACCTCCCAAGTGAGAGGACACCGCAGAGGTGTGTTCTGTACTGGTTATGACAAGGTAATGTGGCTGGATCTGTAGGAGAAAACGTGTGTGCCTTAATTCTCTGAGGAAACCAACCTTATGTGCATTATAAGGACATAAGGGCATCCTTAGCCTGCGGTCTTGGACCCTGAGAAATTCTATACAAGTTCTTTTTTCTTTTATCTATATATATATTTTTTTCTAATTTAAATTCAATTAGTTAACATACAACATAGTCTTGGCTTCAGAAGTAGAACCCAGTGATTCATCTCTTACAGATGACACCAAGTGCTCATCCCAACAAGTGCCCTCCTCAGTGCCCATCACCCATTTACTCCATCCCCCCACCCGCCTGCCCTCCAGCAACCCCCAGTTTGTCCTCTGTATTTAAGAGTCCCTAATGGGTTGCCTCCCTCTCTGTCTTTATCCTGTTTTTCCTTCTCTTCCCCTATGTTCATCTGTTGTGTTTCTCAAATTCCACATGTGAGTGAAATCTTATGATATCTGTCTTTTTTCTTAGCATAATACACTCTAGTTCCATCCACGTCTCTATACAAATTTTTTATAGTTTTCCAGGACCCATAGCTTTGATCAGATATGCAAATGAATTAGAGAATGGCCCCTTCCTCAGCCCCCCACCAAAGGATTAAGAGCCACTGCCATAGAAAGTGGTGGCTGGGGTCATGGAACTTTGTGGAGACCTGGTCTGGTGCTGAGAGTAAGAGGGGCAAGGGAAATGGGAGGGTCTGAAAGGCCTAGCTGCTTGTTCTAAAAGCTGCACTACCAGGCTCTGTGATCTTGGTCAAGCAAATTAGCCTCTCTGAGCCTTCACTGTAAAATTAGGCTAATGACAGTTCCATGCTAATGGGTTTGCTGTGAGCATTAAACAGAATGATTCCTGTAGAGTGCTTAGCATAAGTGCTTGGCGCATAGGTACACTATGAACAGAAAACTCTGACTAGCTGTCTCCATAATTTCATCTCCCCTTCGTTCCCCAGAATATGTTCAGTTGTACTCAGAATACAGAGTACTGTTGTGCTCTCCTGACTTTAGGACGGATCCAAATGCTTACCTTATGCAGTTGAAGTATTTATGTTCCACAGGTAAACACTGCAGAGAAATGGAAGTCCAGAAGCTCTTTCTGTATAGCCTCAAGTGAAGGAAATTGAAAGAACTTTGAAGGTGATGTTGTTTAATGGCTCCTGGATTTGGTCACATCACTGTCATCAGGCAGGGCTGCCGTTCTCATCCAGCTGTATTTGCCGTGGCCTTCATTATCCTAGGGTCATAATCCCTCTTCACATCTCACAACTGTATTGTATTTTACTCTCCATCATCAAGGGGGACTTTTTTCACTTCTCCCTTCTTCTCACCACCCCCTTCATCCATTATTACCCAGTAGATGTCCCTCTGTTCCAACTCTTCTTTAAAAATAAGAGCTAAAATGCCAGTCCTCATCTTGATAAAATGTAAAATACATCTCTCATTCTCCCTGTCTCTGTGCTCCTCATTCTCTGGACCCATTAGTCTATGGACTTGTTCCTGGAAGAGTCAATGGAGATGTCCGTATTTTTAAATTAATTTAGGAAATATGTCAGTGTTATTCCTCCCAAAAGGTACTAATATGCTATTCTAGTGTAGTAAATGTGTTAAATAAAGTTTTATTGTAAAGGTACATTTTCATTCACCATAAAGCATGATAGTAGCTTTGAAAAGAGCTGTTGCATTCTTTGCTACTGTATTATTTGTACCTTTAATCCCCAGATGATGAGCTCAGTGCCCCCAGCACTTGAAGCAGGGAGCCCCTGAGCAAACAATTTTAAATTTTTTAAAGCTTACTTATTTATTCAGAGAAGAGAGAGCGAGTGAGCTGGGGGCGGGAAGGGCAAAAAAGAGAGAGAGAGAGAATCCCAAGCTGACAGCACAGAGCCTGATGTGGGGCCCAAACTCACAAACCGCGAGATCATGACCTGAGCTGAAAGCAAGAGCAAACAGTGGGTGTTCAGGCTGCCCCACTGGAGCGTATAGGGCCCTCTTCTCCACCGACAGGAACTCCTGAGGGGAAGGTCTCAGTCAGACCAAGCTGAGGTGTTACCTATTCTGTCAGAAAAAGCAAATGAAGATTCATCTGTCATACAGCTCCTTTCCCTTCAGAAATATAGTAGGTCTTTTTAAAATGGAGATGAGGGTAGAGCACACTCCAAACCTGAATGTGATGAGGAGGGCTCTGAGCTGTGGTTCAGAAAGAAGAGGATGAGGAATGAGCCCGTGAGCCGCCTGCCGCTGGGCCGGCTGAGAAGTGGGCGCCAAGCAGCAGCCAGCGCCTGGGACATGGAGGCTTCTGGACAGCACTTCTTTGCAGACAGTGTTTCCCTATTTAACTCAGCTGACTTTTTTGTTAAAAGGAATAGTTTTCATTCTGGAAAACATGTTGGTAGGTATCATACCAGGAAAATAACTTTCAGTTTTGCTGTACTTTTGATTTACTATAAGCATTGACCATCATTATTTAGGCCCTTCATCATTTTCTTTTCTTTCTTTCTTTCCTTTTCTGTTTGTTTGGGATTTTTTTTTTTAAGTTTATTTTTTATTTATTTTGAGAGAGAGAGCAAGCAAGGGAGGGGCAGAGAGAGAGAATCCCAAGTCAGCTCCCCTCTGTCAACGCAGAGCCCAATGTGGGGCTCAAACTCACCAATTGTGGGATCATGCCCTGAGCCAAAATCGAGAGTTGGGACATTTAACTCACTGAGCCACCCAGGACCCCCATCCCTTTTCTGTTTTTACTACTATGACTGCCACTGTCACCATAACCCCCTTACCAGTCACTAAGCAAACACCCCTTGTATTATTCTACCTTCACCCAGTAAGGTGGTAGAACAGCGCTTCTGAGCCCTACTTGGCAGAGGCAGCTAAAGCTAGGCCTTGCCTGTCACTCAGCAACTAACCAGTGAAACTGGAAACCAAACCCAGTTTTCCAGCACTCTCTACTGATGGCTGTGGGCCCCCTTCTTTCCTCTTCACTCCCTCTTGCCAACCCAACCAACCGAGGAAGTCAAGGGGATCTAAAGCAAGTGAAAAATCATTGTCTTTATCGTTCATCTGATTCATCTGTTCCTTTGTGTGGGTCGCTCTTTTGCAGGATTGTTTTAAGGAGTGGCTATAGCATATTTGACTCACTTTACAAGTCACTGTCATGGGGTGTCTGGATGGCTCAGTCGGTTAAGCGTCCG